ACGATAGAAACCCATAATGTATATATATATATATGTTTTCGAGGGATGAGCAAAGAGTTTCCGGCATAAAAAGTTCTATTTGTTAAACAAAAAAATAAGCTTCACATCTTCGTGAAGCATTCTCCGCCAGCGTTCGTGAATACAGTTGCAGGGGGTCAAACCGTTTGGTGGAACAGCTCGACCATGTCGAAGCGGATAATCACCCGTTGACCAACCAGTTCAATGAAGGCCTCCACTGCAGCTGTTGTCAACTCATATCGGATTTCATGCATCATGCCGTTGACATTTGAGAATACAAAACAGTCACACGGAGCGTCATCCCCAAAGGCAGCTCGCAAACGATCAACACTGCTGCTGCTGCTGCTGCTGCTGCTGCTGCTGCTCAGAGACATCGACTGAGTTCCAACTCTACAATCCGAGTATACAGTGACCCTCGTATGACTGCTGTGTTGTGCATTCTTTCAATGGTATTGCTAGCTGTTTATTTGGAGTGCGTCCCAAAATAATCTCATCACAACAAGACCCAGTGCGATCACCTTTCTGATATGGTCCACCTGCGTGTGTGTGTGTGTGTATGTATGTATGCCTGCCCCCAGAGGCATATCAATCCATGATTGGTGCAAAACTGTACTAAACGTGTGAGAACAAGCTGCAGAGGTCAACAGTCGAAATCAGTTAGCCACTGTGCCAAATCAATGTATAGACTCATCTTGGTGTATCTTACCGACCGTTCCAATCAAAACCACGAATCTTCTTGGTGTGGTTAGAGAGAGAAACTGCGCACTCTACTCACTGATCAGTGAAGGAGCAGGTGGACAAAAGTAGTGGAATTGTTATTTTCTACCAGAAACTTGTTCTTTATTTCATTGGTTTACTTTTGGATGGTGATGGTAGCTTGACTCGAACCGGACCGTTCGGGTTGAGACTTCAAACTCTTACCGCTGAGCTACACGGTCGACAGTCATCACCTTGTGCGAATGGCTAAATCAATGTTTAGATTGGCAAGCGTGGAGTAGCCAGAAAAGCAAGAACATCAACTATCGAATGGGCTACTACTCTGGTTGCTACTCTAAAATGTAAAGAAATTGTTTTGAATAGATTTAGTGCACCATTAGCCAAGTGTTTTACTTCTAGCTTCACTGACAGCTTGCAGATGGTTGGTTTGGTTATAATAAAGGAGAGCACTCGAAATCCCCTCTGTTTTGAGAGAGTGGGCACTTATGCGCGCGCGACAGACAGTCACAAGGGAAGCATGATGTGGTACAATGCATCTAATTCGATCAAAACTGGTCAAGCAATCCGGAAAAATGATTGAAATAACTTACGTCGTGAAACATCACCCAGAGGGAGAAATGGAAATTGAAAAAGAGCAGAACTGGCAGTTGTAAACACGCTCCACATGTAACTGTGTTTCCATGCGATAGCAAAGAAGACTGGTTTAAAGTTCTAGTTGAAATGTTATTCTCAAAAGAATATCTCAGCTTACGTCTCCATCCAGGGAGCCTAACGGGACCACTGTCCTGATTCACGTTTTCATCGCCTCATGCCAGGTCTTCGTTTAGCCACCCCTGACCTCTTTCCATCCACCGCCTGACTCGGAAAACATCACGCGCGCCATGACAACCTATTTGGTGACATGAACAATGCATGATTGTGCAGGTCGACCACCTGCTCCCGTGGATTAAAGCGATTATCTAAATCTCTGCGCATAAGCCAATCATCGCTTGTCTGGTTGCTTCAGTAGCTTCGTGTAATGCAGCGTAGACAGCAAAGTTCGAACACCCATAATCTGTGACCAAGTTTCCGCACCGTAGAGCAAGACTGTCTTAACTGGTGCAAAGCACACTTGACCCTTCACAGCCAACCGAATTTCGTGACGGCACCTTAAATGTTTCAATTGGGTACATGCCAACCGGGCCTTCTATATGCGAGCTGACACCCGGTGAGGTGTAGCTGCCCAAATAGAAAAACTTATCCATTTACTCTACGACGTCTCCAATTAGAGCGAGGCTGTGTGCTGGACTAATTCAGTCTTGTAGTAGCATTTCACAATTTGAAGGTGCCGAACGCACACCGAACATGACTACACTGGCACTCCAACTATCCAAAAAGGTTGCAACTTACCTGGATCGTCACTTAGTAGCACAATGTCGTCTGCACACTCCAGATCAGACAGTTTGCTATCTGGTAGAAAATCGACTTCACTATCCTCGCACAAAGATAGGGCTGATCGAAGGGTGAAAGCTGTGGCAAAGTTTAACAGAAACGAGAACAGAGGGCAACCCTGTCGAACACCACTTTCCGTGGTGAACTGAGGCGTAAAAATGCCGTGACGAGACTACACTAGTGTAGTGTCCCAGATTCAGTGGGCAAATGAGCACACAACAAATGAAGCAGTAAGTTTATTGTAAACAGCAAACAAATATGTAGCCGGTACACAAACCGGGGAACACGTAGGAACGATCAGCGTGTAGGAAGGCAGACAGGCAGGTAGACAGGTCGACACCGGCTCACACGTCGCACTACATGTGAATACCGTCAAGCCAGAATTCAAACAGTCAGTCAATCGATCAACCAATTCGGCCACAGGCGTGTATGGACACAAATCACTCAGTTTTAAGCCATAACAACTAGACCATGATTGTAATTTTGATCTAGTAGCTTCAACCGTAGTCGCCTGTAACGGTGAAACAATTTGACCAATCAAATCACAGTAATGGAGCAGAATAAATGACACATACTATCCTCTTAACGTTGATGACCGAATGGCAATTCCTAACCTCCTTCGGTTTAAAGATGAGCCAGAAGGATCAACCAACGTTTTACTTTGAGCTGTTTGACTTTGTGTCTTACAGATCTCTTACTTCTATAATAAGAATCATAAGGTGATATGCCGCTCGATGCATCGTTAGCTTTTTTGGCCCAAGTTATTGAGTAATGTCCGCATTGACGCTTCAAGGGCGTCTTTATTGATCCGTGTCGAGGCATTTCCATCGCTACTGCAGTGAACCAATCAAATGTGATCTCCTCATGCCACAAGGAACGTGTACCATGATTTGATTGGTCTGTCCCGTATGCTCCATTCATCAAATTCGAACAACTTTACGTCACAATGCACTTTGCCTCGAGTTGAATGACTGTCTGACAGCACTTGCACCGTGGACCACTCACTGTTTGCTGAAGATCAAATAAAAAGTGAACTGGACAGTGTGGCTGGCACGTGACCAAACTCACCAGTCAATACGTCCGAGACAGAGCATGTGGTGCGATTCAGCTATCTATCTATCGCAGTGGTGCATGCCTTCTGAACAAGCACGCACGCGGAACTGTCTCTCTCTCTCTCTCACTCGCGTTTGCCACCACGCGACCAATTTTGACGGAAAGCTTTTCCCCTTGGGGGACTCTCATGGGATTTCGGAACAATTTATCTGCCCCTAAATCACTTGATTGGAAAATCTTCACGATTTACATTGCCGCGCCACATCTCTGAGCCCCTTGCCAGCAGCCATAGGAGTTATGAGTCTGTGCACATGTCACACAGCTCCGTGTTCTACTCGTCGATTGCTCCCCAGTCGTAAAAGGCGCAGTGTACGTCGCAAATCCGGCTCAGCTGGGATCCGTTCAAAGAAACAGCAGTCTATAGACGCCTATCTAATTCGATCCAGCTCACAGACACACGCGAAGGTGGGCATATTCGACGAGAACCTGATTCACGGATTGCGGAAGTATCCGGTAAGTTCCGGTTTTTCTGAATTACCCCACAACCACGGATTGCACTGAACTCTGTCCAACTATCGTTTATTTTTAAATTTTACCTGGTTTTGTTTTACATCGCGGATTACTAATTTTTTTGTGCAAGTGATTATTTGGCAGGTTGAAGTTTTTAAGTTGAGCTTGTGAAAAGTTCGGTAGCCTCGGTGGGGTTCGAACCCACGCATGGACGCCGCCTAAGCTTTGTACAGCGCACGCTCTACCATCCATGGGTTCGAATCCCACTTAACTTTTCACAATCTCAACCTAAAATCTTCAATCTGCCAAACAACCATTTGCACAATTAACCATGCCTTAGATTTTCATCCGGTGAACTCCAGTGAATTCTGAGGAAAACCCGTCAGGGAGGTCAGCTTACAGGCTAACTGGTGGATACCATATGCCTCTGTAGGCTGGATAGGTAATTCGAAGGTGAGAAGCTAAGTGCTATTGGTGTGGCTTTGTAGCTCAGCAGGTAGAGTGTGCGCTGTACAAAAGCGTATGCGGTGTCCATACTAAGTTTTTGTCGATGCAGCTCAGCTGAAAAATGTCAGGCAAAACAAATCAGACCGGTTCTTGCCGTTTGAACAGTTGGAGAGTGAGAGAATATCAGGAGGCTGGCAAACTGTCTCATTCTTTTCGTTCTATCTCTACCAAGTTTTTAGGTGATCGATTATGCACCGCTGAATCCGGTTATTTTAGGTAAGTGTAGGTGTGAAATCCTGGAATCTAGATAATACAACTATAAGCTGGTGATCGGAAAACCAGTTGAACTGACGTATCAAGTAAACCAAGTCATACGTCTCACCCTGCTATGCCATGGCATAGTGCGATATGGAAAAGGTCCACGCTTATTTTCGAGGGGCTTGTTCTCATGCTGTTAGGAAACCGGTCTGGGCGATACATTTTCATCAGGAAAAACGTATATGAATAAACCTTGATTGAATAAGCACAGGAAACTAGTTAGGGCTGATTCATTGAATCATTAAATTGGATGACATCTATTAAATGCCAAGAGTGATTTTGGTCACAAGTGGATTGAGTTCTGGACGTGACTGAGTAGCTTGTATGGAACAATCCATTGAGGACGAATGGCTATATTGGATAAACACATGCTCGCGTTATTCACACACACATACACGGTTTTCAGGAGCAGACAGTGCATCGGATGGCCTAATGAATAACTGCGCGCTCATCATAGTGATGGAGGATTTGACACAATTATGTTACTGAAATGAAGCTTAAGCAACAAACTCGCAAAGATAAGTTTTGCTGTATCGAATATGCGGAAGATGAAAAGCGGTAACCGAGTGTGTAACATGCTTGCGTTCTGCCCGTGGTGAGGTCCAGGGTT